CCCCGCTGGTGGGGCCCAGCAGGCCGGCTACCTAGGGCGAAGAAGAGACGGGAGGACCCCGGGCGCCCTGTGCCAGGCCCCGTACCGGTCTGTGGCTCTGGACGCCTTCTCCGTGCTCCCGGGCGGCCCCCTCTCCACTCTGGCTTCCTCCCATCCCTGAGAGCTCCCTATGCCGCCAGAGAAGGCCTGTTGCCTAGCCTGTCTGCCTGCCTCTGCCCAATCTCCTTTCCTTTCATCTCTTAGCAAATGTTTCACTCAAACCCCCTTTTTGCCCCCAAGCGGGTCTTAATCTGGTCATGTGGCCAGCCCCAGTGGAGTGTGCCGCACGTAGATGTGGCACAAGGAGGGGGCATTTTTGGCCCAGGCAGGGTCTGGGGTGATGGGTGTCCCGTTCAGGTGACTTCAAGAATCCACCAGGAAGTAAAAGCCTTTGCTGGTGGGGTTGGGTGGCTCAGTTCCCACTTTGGGAGGCTGAGGCGAGAGGATTGCTTGAACCCAGGAGTTCAAGACCATCCTAGGTAACAGTGAGAACTCCTCTCTACACAAAATTTAAAAATTGGCCAGGCTTGGTGGCACGCTCCTGTAGTCCCAGCTATTTGGGAGACTGAGGCGGAAGGATTGGTTAAGCCCAGGCGGTCGAGGCTGTGGTGAACTGTGAGCGTGCCAGTGCACGCCAGCCTGGGTGACAGAGTGAGACCCCGACTCAAAAGCAAACAAACCAAAAAAAACTCTCGCTGTTTGTTGCTGTTGCTCAGATTGTTCTGGTCTTGTTCTGTGTTGACATCTCCATGCTGAGCATACAATAGCCTCGAAAAAAACGCCCATGGAATTGAAACAGAAGCACTTTATGGTCCAATCATAACAGCTAACATTCACTGAGCAGTTATAGTATGCCAGGCCTGGTTCTAGACCCATGCATGACTGATTCACTTAATCCAGTGGCATGCGCTATTATTATTCCCACCTTATGGAGGTGCACGGAGGGAAAAACCCAGTGATCAACTAGCCCACAGTAAGTAAGCAAATCCAGGAGGCCTGTCCGGTGTGGAGGCTGACCCTGAGCCCTTCCTCAAGTCCCTTTCCCAGGGACAGCAGTGACAGGGAGCTGCCATCCTACCAGGGGGCACACAGGGCAGCCGGGAAGTTCCAGCTGGGTCCTAAGTCAGATGCTGGGGTGAGGAGCCCCTGCAGTCCTAGCGTTTTTCAAGGGCCCTTTGGAGGGGGAGGACAAATTTAAGGTGTAAAAGACTGTTTTGGGATATTGGAAGCACCAGTCAGGGAGTGCAAAGGGCCTTGTGAATTCCAGAGGAGAATCCTGGACCCAGTGCCCCTTGTAATGGCCCTCCTCAAGTCCCAGAGCAGGAAGAAGGCCTGACCTGCAGTCCAAAGCCCTTGCCGGCCTGGCTGCCTGCTGCTGAAGGCCACCCACGATCCCTGTGGCCCCTTCACCCCAGCTTGGCCTGGGCCACCTATCCCACAGGGCATCAAGTTCTTCACTCCACTGCCCAGGCAATGGGTTCTCCCCCTTTGCTGTGCAAGTGTGGCCTTGAGGAAGGGCTCTGGTGACCCTCCTGGCTCTACAAAGGCAGCCTGCCTGGCCTCAGCACTGACCTCTCGCTGGCGCTGGGGTCTCCTCAGGTGCCTGGTGAGGGATGGACACAGCTGTCTGTGGGAGGGGGTTTGGAGACTGGAGGCATGGGCTGGGTCAGAGTCCTGCACTTCCTGTCTGTCTCTGTCACTAGGGGCAGGTGGCTTATCCCCTTGAGACCTCAATTTCCTGCCAGTGCAGGGCTCTGTGAGATGACGCATGTGAAGCACGCACACCCGTCTCCTGGACGGTGAGCATCATGGCAGGCTGGCTGCTGCTCACGTTGTCGTTGGCGTCTAACCTACCCCACAAGGCCCTGGAACCACCAGGGCTCGAGGAGGTGATCATAAGGGGAGCTGCCCAAGGTTGAGGGAGTGTTTGCCAGTGGAATCTGGTCAGTTGAGACATACAGTTTGTCATCATGGAATCATTTGATCTGTGCCTAGGTTGAACTCAGAAAGGGGAAGTGAATGACAACTAAATACATGAGACCCTGATGTGGGGTGGGGGCAGGGCGTGCGGGGGGGCCGGCTTGGCTCCGGTGTCAATCCGAGATGCTCCTTTGTGGCCACTTGGTCCAAGTGGGGAAGCACAGTGATCCCACTCCCCCCAGCCCCAATCTGACCTGGTCCACCTGTCCCCGCCCAAGGGCAGAGCCACAGCAGACTCCTGTGGATTTTATTAGGACCTCAAGAAGAAAGGCAGGTCTGCCCGGCCCCCACCCCACACCCCCTGGCTGAAGACAGAGCCCAGAGGTAGATGGAAGTCACAGAACCAGAGATCCCAGGAAGTGAGGGGTGGGGGGGTGGGAGATGGACAAGCTTGCTGCAGGGGCAGGAGGAGTTCCAAGCTGTGGTGCAGATGGACTTCATGTCCTTGTCACGAGGCCACTCTCCTGCATCTCAGGTTGCTGCCCTGGAAGGGGCAGCTCAGTGAGCCGGGATGTGGGAGGACCCCAAGAAGCGTCCCCTTCCCTCAGTAGCTCTTTTATATTCCACCCCCACTACCCTCCAGAACCAGTTGGAATCCAGACCCAGCGGATGACCAAAGCATAGGCTTTTGCCCAGGGACAAGGCCTGACCTCAGCTTGGGAGTCTTGTCTGATGGGCCAGAGGACACACTGGGTGGTGCTTGGCTGGACAAGGTGGGCGCCAACTTGGGCCAGAGGGAGACTGAAAGCAGAATGCGAGGACCCCTGAGCACTTTGTGGAGTGGCGGCCAGCTCAGGCGGGTGGGGACCACAGGGTGGAGAGCCATGCTGGCTGTAATCACTTCAGCACCACTGTGTGATGTGTGTGAGCATGAATTAGTTAGTGTTTGAAAGACCCCAAGCAGAAATCTACACTCCAGGGGCAGCCACGGCCAGTGCTTCAAAGGTGGCTGTCTACCCGTGTAGCAAGATATGTGAATTAACACTGGGAAGTCAATGATCATAGTTTTTCGTGAGAAAAGTGCCATTGAAAATGTGTGTGTGGCAAGAAATACCGCAAGTTCCCTCTGTCTGTGCCTGGGAGACCCAGGGTTCATCGTTGGTGAGCATGTCCTTGAATTTACCCTGAGAGAAGCTTTCTTGAATGGACAGAGTGGAGCATCCCTGAGCTCGTGGACAGAGGTGAACCGTCTGTCTTTGTGCTTCGTTAAGAGGTGTTTCACTGGGGTAGCATTCAGTCTGAGACTTGAGTTCACTGTGATGTGCCACCTGGCGAGGAAGTGTGGGGTGAGACCCACAGCTTTCAACGACCTCTGGTCCTTCGAGGCCACCAGTATCCACTGCAGAGAACCTGACCCACCGTGCAGGGTGGCTCTGCAGGGAGTTAAAGGGACTGCCACGGAAACTGGTGCTGGGGGTGCATCCACAGGCAAACTCTCCCCCACCCGCCACCCCACCCCAGCCAGTGTTCCCCAGAGGCAGATGTGAAGGTGGGGCAGGACCAGATCCAGGGCCCAGGGAAATAGGGGAACGCATTTCCCTGGGGGAGGTGTCCTCTCTTTAAGGGAGGAGGAGGAGGCCAAGATGGAGCAAGTGGGGGGGGGAGGAGAGCGGGGAAGAGTTTGGTGGGGCAGGGAGGACCATATCTTCAAGATGTGGGCGGTCTGGTTTGGAGTCTGGGAAGACCCCTCACCCAAGGGAAAACTGCCTAAAGGCAGCCCAGATCACAAACCGTTGAGCTGAAAATGGGAGGATGTTTTAAAAATCGCTTCTCAGCCGGGCTCGGTGGCTCAGCCTGTAATCCCGCACCTTTGGGAGGCTGAGGTGAGTGGACTACCAGAGCCCGCAGGTTCGAGACCCGCCTGGGCAGCGAGACCTCATCTCTACAATAAATCAAAAAATCAGCC